CCGGGCGGGCTCCCTAACGATTTGGGACCACCCGCCCGCCTCACAACAGCACACGACCCCACAACCGCTGCAAGGCCGCGCGGTTGGTTGCCAGCGCATGCGCTCTTCTGGCGTGGCGCGCACGCGCTCTCTGCCCCGCCTCTCTTCCCTCCGCTAGGGCGCGTGCTTCTCCGCCCTGTCCACGTGCCCGCCGGGTCGCCCCATCTGCGCGGGCAAGCGCGCGCCGCCCGCTTCCGCGTTCTGCCCTTGGAAGCACTTTGGCGGTCTGCGCCTGCGCCGCGGGCGTGGACCTGTCTTGGGAGTGGCTATGTGCTAGTGGCGGCTGCGGTAGCGAGGATCCCCGCATGGAGCCTTCTCCGGGCCCAGCAGGTAGGGGCGGATCCCCCCCCTCCCCCCCGCGCGTGCGTGACTCCTGCAGCGGGGGGGCAGGAACAGCAGCGCCCGCTGCTGCCGCCGCCTCCTGGTGCCGCGCTCTCACCGCCCCGGGAAAGCCCCGCGCGCCTCGGGGGTCGGTGGTGGGAGGGGAACGTGCAGGCAGGTTGGCTTGCGGTGCTGCCAGCTGGCGTTAAAGGTCACGCTGCAGGGCGCGCTGGGGAGCGAAAGTAACCCTGCTGTTTGCCTGCCTTGGGGCCAAGTGGGCCAAGCTGAGTGCTAGGATGAGCTTGGTTCTGCCGGCGGGTTGGATGTTACCTTTGGCCCTGGCTATACGAGCCCTGCGATACTCAGCCTGTTCTAGAGCAGGATCCTCTCTCCTCATCTTAGGAAAGTGGGGAAGGCAACATGGCCATTATTTCTTGGTACCAGCCAGTGACTTTCACTTGCTATCGCCAGCAGCAACAACGGGTCAAGTCTTAAGATAGACAAGGTCCTGGCAGCTGCCTGACTCTTAACTCTGTGCTGTGCAAACCAGTTTTGGGCAGGGTTCAATGACCGTGTTACTGAATTATCAGCATGTAGTCTATATTAGCATTCCTATTGCTCCCACCAGAGGCCGTAGTATTGGGGAATGTGAAGAGGAACCTATAAGCTGTATTTACATTAGAACGAAGTGCTTGCCTACACAGACAAATTGTGTTGATACAAGTTAAGTGTTGTATTTAAACCTATATTATATTTAAAAAACCTCCACGTGGATGCTATTATTCTGGCATAAGAGGGTCTTTTCCCAGTTTGTTTCTTGGAAAGGAAAGATAAACAAGCTTTTTTTATACTGGAATACTATATACACAGCTTTATTTCAATATAGTTATATTGGTTTAACTATATATAAAGCCATGTTTATAATAGGAGTGTTTTACCATATGTGTACAAACATTTGCATGTACATGCTCCATACTAGTGGTGTGCAATCACAATTTTCATTGTCTTCATTTTAAAAGTTGTGTGCCCTTGTTTCACATACATTGACTATACCAGTGAAGCTGAGCCAACAACAATGCTTAAACATGGGTGTTGTTACCAATTTTCTAAAACATTATCTATTGCCAGTGTATGATCAAAGCTATTTTTTCAGAGCATTACTCTACCAAACACTGCCACTAGTTAGAAGCTTAAGTTGAATTTGTATGTAAGTCGGAACTGGTACATATTGTAGGGGAAACTCTAGCCAAACATTTCTCCAGAGCTCAGTTTTATTCTCCCACACCTCACTTCCCTCAGTCCTTTATTCTCAAGCTGAGGTAAGTGAGGTGTGGGAGAATAAAACTGAGCTCTGGAGAAATGTTTGGCTAGAGTTTCCCCTACAATATGTACCAGTTCCGACTTACATACAAATTCAACTTAAGAACAAACCTACAGTCCCTATCTTGTATGTAACCTGGGGTCTGCCTGTACAGCAATTTTTATAACATTCTTAATATGTGTTTACACAGTAGGGATGTCAAATATCAGTTAATTGAATAGTTGATTAACCTCGTGAATTCTTATCAGTTACTCGATTATTCTATAGTTCCCGGAGGTGGGCTGCCAGCCAGTGTGCTCCGGTCCCACTCCCAAAGAGCCCCCTGCTTGGGGTGCTCGGCAGGAGCCAATCCACAAGGGGAGCCCGTTTAAAAACCAGTTCCCCTCATGGGCCAGGTGCCTGTCACCCCCACTGCTGCCTCTGATGCAACTCCTGTTTGGGGGGTGGGCCTGAGCTTCTGGATCAGGTGCATGCCAAAACTGAGCCGGGCTGTCTACCCACCTGGCTCTTAATACACTGTAAATGCAGAGCTGCAGCAAAAGTAGGTTCTGGACCTGGCGTGAGTCAGGACTGAGCCGGGCTGCTGACCAGACAGCTAAAGAATTAACAGGCAATGTGGAGGAATGCATGTAGTTTATAGCATTAACCTATAAGCTTTTGCTTGTTGGTTAATTGGTTAATTGACTACACTATTACATCCCTATTACCAGAGCTTTCTGCTAAGTTTAAACTTTATAAGTATGTATATACCTAAAGCAGGGCATTGGAACTCAGACGTCTAGCATCGACAAGACCTTGGGGCTTTTCTACACAGGAAATTTTTGCCAATAAGCTAGGCCTACATTGCAGACTTCTCCCAGCACAGCAGGGCAAGGTGTGACAAGATGTGATTACTAACCAACACGGGTGCTGAAAAACTAGCTATACCAGCAATGCTACACTTTTATCCGTATCGCTTATTTCACTTATTTGGGGCCTTACCATACCAGTACTAGGGACATAAAAGGTTAACCCAGAAGACCCTCTGCAGCAGCTCCCTAGAGGGCCTGGCCACCCTCTTCCCCTGCCATAACACCTGGCCGCAGGTTACGGGCTGACTCACTGGGAGCTGCTGCAGAGCCTGCAGCAAAGCTTCCCTGGGAACAGGGCTGGCAGCAGAGCCTTCTCCCCAGGAGTGGGGCCATCAGCAGCCCCTGCTGTTCCTGCACCCAGGAAGGCGGCTTTGCTATGGCAGCAATTCTTCCTCCCAAGGGTGCCAGCCCTGCTCCTTGGGAGGCTACACAGCAGGCTCTGCAGTATAAAGCTTATTTAAGCTTTATACTGCAGGGCCCACAGCTGTGTAACCAGTAACCACTTTGATTTTTAGCGGTTACACCGTTACATTTTTAACTGTGTTTTTACATCCCGTGTGTGTTTGTGTATACCAGCATACTTGACTAGCAAAGCACAGCTAAAATAGTAAATGAACACTTTGTACTGGTTAGGGATGTGAAAGCTTAACTGGTAATGCTTACCGGGTGCAGGGAGCTGCTCCAGCCCCTCGGGGCTCACCATGGGCAGGGGCTGCTCCAGCTTCCTGGAGAAATCTCTGTTGATGGCACCCCGTTCCCCACTGCAGGTTACACGCTGACTCCCTGGGAGTGGGGCCAGCTGCTTTTCTGTGGCAGAGAAGCCGCCTCCCTGGGAGTGGAACTGGCAGGGACTGGCAATCCTGCTGCCAGGGAGGCTTCGTTGCAGGCTATGCAGTGTAAAGCTTATTTATTAATCTAACAGTGCTTAACATTGCTTGTTCTTTGCATTCATCAGTAATAAAAAACTGCATTTTATCTGTTTTTATTCTGCAGTTACACTGATTGGATGGCAATGAACATACTTTTGAACTTCCCAGGATGCATTTGGGAAATTGTTATGCAGTATGAGGCAACCCTTGGGTTAATCTGTCACGCAATGTCACCTCTCTGAAACTGCCACAACTTATGAACGAGTTACGTACCAAGCACTTGGTCATAACTCGATCTGTTCGTAAGTCGGATTACATTCACTTACATATGGCCGCGCTGTTCATAAGTGCAGGTTTCGTTCGTAACTCAGATATCGGCTGTATAGGAGGCTGATCGTGAATACAAATGGTCGTAAGTCGATGCATTTGTAACTCAGGGACCGGCTGTATTTTGTTTTCTACAGGTTGGACCTCTCTGGTCTGTCATCCTTGGGATCTGACTGGTCCCGGACCAGGGGTGGTCCCTCCCCTAATGGTCCATGCTAAACTGCTGTTCCCCTTCCCCTGCTGCTTTCCCCATTGCTCCCTGACAAACCCTCACTCCCTGAGCTAGAGCTCTCCAGCTCCCATTCTCCCAGCTTCTGCCAGGGCCGGAGCTGCATGGCTGTGGTGCGAACTTCTTGGCTGCAGTTGGGGCTGGAGCTACATGGCTGGGGCTGGAGCTTCACAGACTACCCCCCCACAAGACTTCTGGGTGAGTCTCTCTCTCCTGCTTCACTTCCCCCTTCCCCCCATGTTACTGGCTCGTGGCCAGACCTCCTTCCTCCTGGAATCTGTGGTCCAGGAACATCTGTAGTCCTGCCAGACCACGGATGTTGCTGGATCTGAAAGTCCTGGCTAAGGGAGGTACAACCTGTAGTGTATCGGTTTTCATTTTTTAAAATGAAACTCAGGCTTTGTCTGATTGCTCTGCAGTTTGGATTACTATAAAAGTGTTAATAGCAGCAGGTTGAAATGCTGCCACAGAACTCCCCTGTGTAGACCCTACGAGTGTGAACTGCTTTGCATTAATATGGTTCAGTTTGAAGAGGACTGTGCTAATGTAAACTAGGAACTCTAGTTTTGATCACATGGGGAAGTTACAGCACAACACTTTGATCTACACTGCTATTCACTCCCCACTAGTCCTAATTGGGGGACAGTGTAGGCAAGCATGTAGTTGCTGTTTGTTATGTTGAGAAAAAAACATCAAAATGTTAACTAGGTGCAGCTAGAATAGAGATATCTGTGTCAGTTTGAAAAGAGACTGGAGCAATAGCTGAGAAGTGTGAACTGCCCCATTCATTTCAGTGTGTTTACTCAGATCCTAGTGTGGTACTTAAATGTCAACATAGTTAACTATTTAATTTTGCATGTAAGGAGAGGAATAATCGCATGTCTGTACAATGTTTCCATGAGTCATGTCTCATTTTAGTGCCACAAGAAGTGAGGTGATGGTGGGCTACCAATATCACTACATACTATTTTCACCCATTAAAAAGAAAACCAAGTCCAGCTTGCCCAACAGAGCCCGTGGATGTACGGGAGCCCCTCTGAAGAGGAGAAAAGCTCTAGGAGCCTTTGAAGTAGGAATAAGAGATCCTCCGGAATAGGGCTTTATTCCGGAGGATCGGGCCAGTCTAGACGCTCTTTTCCGGCTTTTCTACAAGCCGGAAAAAAGCGGCGGATATCTTTATTTAAATCCCGCGGGGGATATTTAAATCCCCTGCAGATTTCCCTATTACGAAGTTTAAAATTAGCATGCCCCTTTCGGAAAAGGGGCCAGTGTAGACGTAGCCCTAATGTATGAAGTTACGTACTTAGAATTTTTTCAGGGAAGGCTCTTGCCTTTCTTGATGGCTATGCTGCACTTCAGTATTATGTTCAGTTAAAAAGTCTTTTTAGGGACTCAGTTTCTCATTATACACTTACAAAATTTGAGGGCCAGCTGCACTATTCTACTATGTGAGTGATGTAGAGTCATGACACATTAAAAAGATAGTGGAGGAAAGGAAAGACATTTCAGTGTAAAGGCAGGAAAAGACAAGGAAGCTAAGAGTTAGAAGTTAAAGAGTAGAGAGTCAGGAATAGAACTGGAGAACTAGTTAAAGGATAATTCAAAATGGAAAGGAAAAAGAAGAGTGGTGCAAGAGATAATTCAACAAATAGCCTTTTTAATGGCTTTTCATTTTTATTTCGTTTCTGTTAAGTAGAATAGAGATTCGGCACAGAAAAGAAATTTTAGGAACAGTCCACTTTCAAGATGGAAAATTGGATAAAATTGGAAATTGGATAAAATGTCTTGTTTATACCCTGGCCAAAGGACAGAGAAGTGTTTGATGGAATGTTCTGGAACTCCTCTGGGAAATAAGATATCAAATAAATAAATTATATAAGTACCTGGACAGAGAGTGAAGTAGTATGCAATGCAGTTTAAAAAGATTCTTCACAGATGAACATACTATAACCCCAGAGTTCTCACCCTTTTACATCTCAGGATCACCTATATAGCAATATGCGAAGAGCAGGAATACACAACTAAGTGTGTTTTGACCATTTAAACTGGTATTTAGAGTCCTGCACAGATACATATATGTGGATCCGCCTCCGCCAGGCTCATTCTGTCATCTGATCCGCAAGCTGGATTTTATCTTCATACACATCTGCAGGGTGGCAGCAGCAAGCTGTCTTTAGAGGGTAGGTGGGAGGAAGCACAAATGAGTGAGGATGGGACAGGGTCTTGCAGGGAAGAGGGAGGCAGCATGGGAACAAGGACTCTGAGTAAGGAGCAGCATAAGGGCAGGATGAGGGTCTCAGGTAGAGGTGGGAATGGATTTGCATTGTGTGCTTTTGCTGCTGGGGTGGGGGGTGTTCATCAGCAATGGTACCTGGTAGCAGCAGCTTCTGTGAGATCACAGCAGGGCAGAGGGGTACAGAGTTGGGCCGTCGCCCGCCCCAGTCTCCATGGCAGAGGGTGGGCCGTGCTGCCCTGCAATTGGCCGAGCCTAGGGCACTGCACCCGCTTCCCCCCATAGCTCCAGCCCCACAGAGCTGGACCCTCCCCTCTCTGAACAGGGCAGCTTGCTGTTATGCTGAGAGTCTTCCTCCTCTCCCAGAAGTGAGCCACCTCCCCCATGCATGCTCCCAGCTGCACTAGATGACAGTACGGAACAGCAGTGTGGGGCAAGTGGGCCCCTGGTTCGCCACAGGTCAGTGTTGATTGGGTGTGGGGGCAAGGCTGGTACTCAGCTTCTTGTGCAGGGAAATTTGGGAACCAGTTGGCACTCTCTCCTTGCTGGCAGCAGGGGGCCTACGCTGGCATCCTGCCTTAGCTGGACAGCCGGGTACAGTTGGAAGAGACCCCTGTGCAAGTATTGGTGCCATTATCTGTGAAAATGGTCCATGGATATCCGCATTTGCGGTTGTGAACCGGCTATCCAGAGCTCTAACTATAATACATATATATGTCAACTTACTGTCAGCCGCCTTGATTTTTTTGTTTTGGTGCAGCCTGGAACTGGATATTCAAGGTGATTGTGCTGCAAAGCAAATAGAAAGCGGTGTGTAGATACAAGCAAAGTGAAGAGTGAATTAGTTAAGCACATAGTTAAGAGTTTCTCTTCTTAGACCTTAGTGCTGGTTCACAGCAGAAATGATAGGATCAGGTTCCTCTATACGCGCTTCCTTGCTCTTAATTTTTAAAATTTATGCACAGCACTCCTTATCAGGGCCTTGAAAGAATATACTGTAGGAGGATGCTCTCATTTAGCAGCATTTACCGGATCTTGAAAGAGAGAGATTTGTGATTAAATAATATTTTTTAAAAGAAAGCATCCTTGAAGATTTGGACTTAAATTGAAGAGTCTAGTCTAGCATTTTAGACAGGATTTCTTTACACAAAAAAGTATTTGTAAAATAGATTGAAAAGTCTTCAAGAAAAACCACCAAAAATAAATGGGATAAACCATAAATAATTACCGGTATATTAGTAAATAGGCACATAAACAGCACACTCAGTCGCTGATTGGAATTGTGTGGTGAAATCTAATCCAACAATAACCCATCTTACTCATATTTCTGATTTAGTTTTGATGCCATTAAATAGTTTGGCTTCCATTTCCTGCAAGTTTTTCTGCTTATCCAGATGTTGTTTATTTTTGTTTTCACTGGAGATGTTAATTTTATGCTACATTCTCATTTTACCCCATGAGCTTTGTTTGTTATAAACATATAGCATTTTTTAAAGAGTTAGTCACTGATTTAAAGGCTGTATTCCAAGTTGTCTGTTTGCTCCTAACAGGAATGGAAAATGAATGGCTTCATGTTTTATGTACACAAATTAATTCACATTACTTGCACACTTTTTTCCAATTATGCTGTCATACTTGGGACGTAGAGCAGCTCTCATATTTTCAGTTGCACTATCAAACCATCGTCTTACCTTTGGGGAGTTCTAAACACCATGTTCTGCCAAGAATTTTTCATCTAAGGGTGGTGATGAGCTAATAAATGCAACAGTAACTATATCAAGGGTATATTGGTAATAGGAATGTTACTCTTGGGACTGCTGTTCTGGCAAGAGAAGCTGAAGTGTTCAGGTTTGACTGGAGGAATGTTAAACAGTGTTGCACCTGGGACTTGATCTG